TAAATGCATTTCTCTTGTCATTAGATACACGTTTAGTAAATGGCAACATCCATTTGCTTTTCAATTGATGACCTGCTTTATGAGGGGGAAATCACGCAATGCCTCCATATCTTGTCCAGATATTTTGGTATCAATAGTTTGGTTTTTATCAGTTCCTCACTATCCTTGCTCACAAGAGCCACTAAACACTTCCTACCCTGCTGGAGGTCACCAAAGCACACAATGCTCTGTGAGGATGTGAAGGAGCAATACTGACCTGTGCATCATGATACCTGCCACCAAGATTTTCTGAAAGCTCACAGGGATGGTCACACTACTGTTCCTTTCAGCAAGAGTGCTGGAAACAAAACTGCCTATGTTTTCACATTTACCAAATGTTATTCTCACTTCTGGATTGTTTGGGTGTTTTTGTTTGGTTTGTTTTTGGTGGTTTTTTTTTGTCTAATGAGAAAGAAACTATTCACAGACAAAGCTGATGAAAGCTGAGACAGCTACTCCATTCTCCTGGGATCTATGTCTACCTTAATCGGAGAAATAGCTGAAGTGCTGCAGGACTGCAAGATGCTTGCATTGCACACCATCAGCAAAGAGGAGTGGCTTGGGTTTCTGGACTGTTTTAATTAATGAACTCAGTGGCAGACAATTCATCACAGTACGTAAGCATGCATGTTCATGAATCTGACCTTTTCACTCCTACTTTTGTCTTTTTCCATGATCCCTCTCACTATCTGCTCTAAGTATAGTGATCACAGGGGAATTCATGATTTCATTTAGCATTCAAATATGGGCCTTTTCCTTCATATTTTGGATGAGTCAAGCCCTGTAGTTCCAGTAAGTTCCTACCTAACAAAGGAGAATTTAGCATAAACAAGCACCAAAACCTTGAGATCTTTTAATGCAACTGAGACCACCAACAAAAGGCTCCCAAAAATGATGGATTTTGCTGCATTGCTCAGAATCCAAATAGACAAGCATCCATCAGTATTATTTTCTGTCAAAAGTCAAGAATGCCAAGCATTTTTAGAAATGTTCATCCCTACTCTGCCTGCAAGCAAGGGGATTGCTGACACAGTACCCAGATACAAAAACTGCAAAGTCCTCTGATTTCTGCTAGTGCTAAGGAAAAATAAACAATACCCAACCCAACCTGACAAAATCACTGAGAAAAAAATATAAAGACTGTAATTTTAAGGCATATGTCTCCACAGGGAAGAAACCAAAAATTGAAACAGCTTTTTTTTTTCTCAAGTATTAAAAATGGAAAATATATGTCTTTCTGCAGACCCAGACAGTGGTTTTAAACCTGGTTTTATATAACGTCAGCCTCACTGAAAGATCTGTCTGTAGACATATTCCCTATTAATTAGCAATTTAGTGGCCATCTGTGGAAAGGGATAAGCAAATATGTTTTTCATTTAAAATGAAACTGAGGAGTTAATTGCTTTTACTTCCTGTAGTAACACTCATCCTTCTCTCTATATATACATACACATACACTCAGTAAAGAAAGTGAGGCAAAACCATGCAGGTCAGTTCACAGATGTGAAGATATTTTGCTCTGCAAAACTATAATTCACCATATGTTCAGGAAAAGCAGCTACACAGTAATATGAAACACAAGTTTCCACAGAATAGAAATCATTAAAAGCAGCCACTGGGTACTTCATTTCTATTTTAAAATAACTTGATCTTCCCAAACAGATGTGCACTATTTGAGGTCAAGAATCAAGAGCGATTTTCACCTACCCCCTGCAGTGGAGCTGACAAAGTGACAAAACATCCCTGGGATTACAAGTGTGCCACAGCCCCCCACATATTTAATTAGGGGTTTCACCTTCCCATATCAAAATAACCAACAGCAAAACACTTTCTCTCTGAAAACTGCAGCCACAATGAGGTCAGTAGGACAGCATGTGCAACATTGCATTTGAGAGCACAAGAACACCTCCCTGCAGAAGGAGGCCTTGAAACAGAGACCAGGGCTGCTGAGACAAAGCCATGCTTTCTTAAACTTTGTCCTAAGTGTAAGCCCAGCCACCAAAGTCAGCCCCACAGGCTCAATACCCACACACGACTCACCTCAATCATGCCTTCCCAGTGCCTGTGCACAGCTAATATAATGCACCCACTTCTCCTACAAGCAACACACATTACACTTTTTACTGGGTCAACATTTGCACTCAACTCAGCTAAAATTCCCACTGGTCTAGGACAGCTTCACTAAAGTACTTATAAATTTTTAATTAAAAGATACCCGGATTTATTATTTACCATAATGAAAGCTTGAATAAAAGAGAAAATGGAAGTGGTCTTACCTACTTTTTTAAACAGCTGTCTGATATCACAGCAAAGTACAATTACTAGCGTGTCTACAAAGAGTTAATGCAAAACAAATTTTGCCACAGGATCAGCTTTAAAGAGGGAGGAAGCAGTGAGCAGAAGGGGACCTATCCATGGCTGAGCTGCAGGGCAAACCAAATTTTGTCTTACAGAAGATGGAATTACAGTGTTAACTCCATCTCTCTGGGCATAAGCACACTAAAGACACACGGAAGGACACTAGTCATGGACTGCTCATGCTTTCAAATCTCTAATATTCTGAGCCTCTCTGACAAACACCTCATTTGCATGCCACCACAGGCCTGTGCTGACTGTAGCACAAACCTTTCAGTCAGTTTGCCAGTGGAAAAGACAGCAATGTACGTCTTAAAAACATTTGTTTACACAGCAGCTCCTCTTTGGAAACAGAGGCTCAACAGACAACAATCCAAGATCACAGAAAAAAGTATCGCTGCTATTCACACCTTTCTTCTTCAGAAACTGTTCAATATACTGAGCCACTAAACCAAAACAAAACTAGAGTCCAAGCTGCTAGAAACGAGGACTTGAAAGCCTTGCAAAGCCACCAGACCACCTGGCAATGTATACACACCATGACCAGCCTTTCCCAGAGGTACACGAACCTTGCACAATCAAATCCATTGTATTAAAAATAATTCTGAGCAGGCAGAACAACTCACACTTCTAAAAGCAAATTCTTCATTTCCCTCTACTTGATGCCAACATCTGCACTCCAGGGAAGCAGCTCTTGAGTGTCTCTACCAAACCATGGAGGCACAGCTAATGGAGCAAACTGAAGCCAAGACCATCGATACCAACAATCAGAGGGAGGGTGCAAAGGCAGTGTTGTGACTCTGAATGGATGCAGGACCCACAGAGCTGCAGTTCTTTGACAGCCACCAGCAGGAGGGAAAGTCCCTGCCCTGCACTGCACCCGGACTTTCTGCAGGGCAGCCTCACATACAGCCCATGCCAGAAAGGTGGGGCTTGAAGACATTTTCACACATGTTCACCTTCTCCATCACCATTTCCAGAAAAGTCCATTTCTTTGAGAAATAAACATAAGATAAACATTTCAAAGGTGATCTTGCTAATGAAATTGTGACTGTAAGCTTAGCTGGCCTTTTGATACAGCACTTATTGCTATACAAATGAGCAGTGAATAAAACACACAAAAAAGAAAGGTTATCGTTTTCTTTCTGCTCATCAAAATCAACATTATTTATGCATAAATTCAGTTTCTTTCTGCCACATTGTCATATGACAAGTCTGGAACAGGTGCAAATCCAAAATAGCCCCATGTACATTCATGACTTCTTGAAGGCTATGCTTAATCATTATTCATCGTACCAAATAATAATACTGATTAATACTAGCTGTTCTTGTTCTAGCTAGTATCATGGTCATAACAATAAGCCAAAGATCAAGATATTTCCTATCAAACTGGCACCTTCATCAGGAAATATGTTTGGAAGCCTGTTTTGTGCTACACCACTACATTGTCTAATACACCTTCTTATGAGAAAACTGCAAAATTTTACCCATGTTTTATAAAAATTTCCCTTCTCCTACAGAATGTTTTATTAGGATGATGGGACTCTTGGCAGTGGAAAAAGATAGAACAACAAAATTAACAATTTTTATAGCTAAAATATCCCAATCCCTGTGTGATCCACAATGCTTGTCTTGATAGTTTCTCTCAGTAACCTTCAGCATGCTTAAAACTGCACACATAATCTCAGTGTGTGACTTCAGTGTTGCTGTAAAAGGACATATCAGAATCAAAGGTTCACATTTCTACAACAGGCACTCTGCTGCTAATTGAGTTTCATTATGAATTTGGTTTTAATTTTCTGCTTATCAAGGATTGACTTTCTCCTCCTCTGGATGCAATATTACCATACAGAAGCTTCTATCTTTCTCCATATAATGACATGTTTTCCCATAGACAAAGCAGACTTTTTTTCCCCATATTTTGGTTCAAACTCCACCCTCATCTAGAAAACCAGGACCTAGTTTGACAGTGGCCACCATATGGTTCTTAACTCCAAGTAGCTCTCAAGGCACTTTGAATGCAGATCCTGCATTGAAATGACAACATGGCCAACAGCTGGACAGCTTGGCCACATGTATCCATTCTAACGAGAATGTCTGAGCCAGGGGTGCCCAAGGACTTGATTTAGGGTATGTCTGTGTGCACAGCCCACAGCAGACTTCTGGTTCCTAGAGTCCCAATTCTCTCCCCCTTAGAGGATGATGCTCCTAGACCTCCTCCCACACTCTGAGCCACTTATCGAATGTATACAGCTCTCAGATGTGAAAAGAGTTTGCCACATACTAAAATGGTAGAGGCAAAAAGGTGCACTAATTCTTAACAGTTCAGGCTTTAAGCATTTTATGGTTTACTTACACGAGCATATTGAGAGGATACGGACAGAATATTCCTTTCAAAATGACTGAATTATTGCTAGTCACAACAATACTCCTATTTGTGATTTAAACTGAACCGGTAAGGAAGCGTGTAATGCTTACGTTGCCACCAAAAATATTTTTAGCTGCATCACATTTACCAGGATTCCAGATGTTCTCATGAAATCAGCATTCATGACACGCAGCTATTTGGTGATGTGCATGAGAAAGACAGAACCTCTAATACTTACAGCCAATCATCATCATAGCCACAGCAAAGATCTTCTCCCCATCCGTGGTCGGAGCGATGTTCCCAAATCCCACGCTGGTGAGGCTGGTCATCGTGAAGTACAGCGAGGAGATGTAGACGGAATCTTTGCTGGGCCCGCCTTCCCACTTGCCAAATCCCGAGGTGTTGAAGCGGTAGGGAGTGCCTATGGACTCTCCCAGCTGGTAGAGCCAGCTCTCGGTGCGGATGGTGTTGGTGTCCTCGTCGATGACCTCGTAGTCGCCGATGCTGTACCAGATGCAGGCCAGCCAGTGCGCGGCCAGCCCGAACACGCACACCAGCAGCACCAGCACGGCCGCCCCGTACTCGATGTAGTGGTCCAGCTTGCGAGCCACGCGGCCCAGCCGCAGCAGCCTCACCACCTTGAGCGAGCTGAACAGGCTGCTGATGCCCTGCAAGGATAAAGCGCGCTGGCCGTTAGAATTTCGCGGGAAAGCAACAAAATATTCGTCACCGCGGCTTCCCGAGAAAACAAGGTGATCCGTAAAAAAACACAGAGCCACCAGATTAGCAGAGAAACTGTGAAACACAAAAAACTTAGTGACACTTTCCAGGGAGGAATATATGCACTCGTGCCTTCATCCACTACCATTTTGTGGGTTGCTCTCTGAACTCCCTTTTCAGATTATTTGAACAGGTTTACAAATACTTTTTAAAACCTTCCAATGACAAGCTTTTCTATTCTATTTCTTTTCTATTCTATTTCTTTTTCTATTCCATTTCTTTGTCTGTTCTATTTCTTTTCTATTCTATTTCTTTTTCTATTCCATCTTTGTCTATTCTATTTCGTTTCTATTCTATTGCTTTTTCTATTGCATATCCAGTTGTGAATTCTTATGCAACACATCAGATGTAATGTCTCAGATATAACACAGATTGCAAAATTTAGCTCAGACATAACAGAAAGAGAAATAAAGAAGGCCAAAAAATACTGGAAGTACCTGGAAATTTGTAGTTTTCCTACTTCCTACAATGCATTTCCTAAGACTCCACTTTCCTATACAAACTCATGCATTAATAAGCAGTCCTCTGACATTTCTCATATGAACTACTCATAGCTTAAATATTTCAAATATCTCACTAATCCCCAAATTATATCCTTTTTATGACAGCTTTGATATCAATGCAGTATTTCTGTGCTGAAAAGAATATGGCTCCCATAAAACAGAATTAAGCTAGCATGCAGGGTATTGTATTGTTAACTTTTATACAGATTTGCACAAGAAGTCAAATTAAAAAATTCAAAACCATTTGGGGCATGAGAAGATCTGAATAGCCTATCATAAAAATCCTTCTTTTTTTTTTTTTCTACTTCCTCTTACTAAGACTGTTTCATATGTAGAAGTCTGATTAAAATTTAAGCAGACTGGTTTAATGAGTATTTCTGGAAATGCATAATTGCATACTTCTGGTCACCAGCTTTTACTGGAAGTTTGTTTATTCCTGCATAAATACAACTGCCTCAGTATCTTAGGCTGCTTCAATGCACTAGAAAACGATGTTTTATTAAATAATTACATAAAGTATATTGACTCATGTTCCCCAGGACTGCAGCAATATCTTTTCCCTTTATTTCATGAATTTGTCATGATTACATTGACTCATTTTCAGAGACAGATGTAATTTGTTACCTGGGAACACACTATCAATTTCTATTAAGTATCTGGACAAGATCTAATGCAAGCAGGGGGTGGGGAATAAAAAAAGAGAGAGAGAGGAAAAAAAAAAGAAGATAAAAAAGCAGTTTTCCTTTAAATCAGGGATATTTGCAGAAATCTAGAAGAGAGCAAGTAAACTATTCTTTTCATGAACATTTATGCCAAACTTTTCAAGTCACTGATGCAAAAATTGCTACACAAAATAAGTTAATTTCCATTTCCCATTCATTCCATACCCAGCTTTGTTTTGTAAACACTGGAGCAAAGCCTCAATGCCAATTCTGAGAATATGACACAAAAGGCCTTAATTTCCAGGGGAGGGAAAGCAGGTATTTCTGAATATTCAGTATGGAGAGGGAAAGCAAAGTGGAAAATGCAGAAAATTAAAATGACATTTCAGAATTGGATATATGCAAGTCCTGGACTGACCAGTGCATTTAGTCTCTGCATTCTAAATATTCTGATATTACAACACAGCCTTCTGGCCTTTTCCCTCAGGACTAATGCCCATTTCTCCCTTTTCTCTTTACAAACCTTAGGAGTTTTTACATTTTGAGAGGTCTCCAGAAATGGTGCTTTTAGCTTCAGTCTCAAAACCAAGCCTTGTAATCACACAGTGCTTCAAAATTTCCACCCCAAATCCGAGAAAACAGTTTTATTTTTGTTCAAAACCTGTTCTTCAAATTAAACATATCCCTGAGATTTAAAAAAAAAAAAAAAGCCCCCCAAAAAGGCTGTTTGTCAGCAAGAGTCCTACCAAAGCCAAAAAATAATAATGGTTTAGGAAGGACCTAATAGCTTAGAATCTGATTAATTCTTAATGAAAAATTAAAAAGAGTCAAGGATGAGAAAAACTTGGGGAAAGGAAAGAATCACAGGAGTTCAAGAAATTGGATATGAAAAATAGGAATAGTAATTAAAATACATGAAATCAGATTTTAAAAGTCTAAACCAAAATACTTTCTTCAAATGTTCTCTTACCCTAATTTCCGTTGTGAAATTCACTAAAAAAAAATTATTTTAAAAATTTAAATGGCATTGAACTGCATCATTTGGGAGAAACTGATTCTACTGAATACTGACCAGAAATAGAGTGAATTAAGCACTTTTTACAAAAAGAACTCGAGTATTTACAGAAAAATATATACCTGATTTGGTTGCACTGAAAGGCTACATTAAATATTCTAATTACTCCTAATACTCACCTGACTGCATTGCCAATGAGATTCTAAAAGTTCAGAAAAAGCTCTATTAAAAAAAAAACAATTTATTTTTATTTCAGCATTAACAGTGTTCTCTCTTTTATTTCCTCAAAGGAAAGGATTTGTCTATCCTAAATGGACCAATATCAAGAGCAAGAACTGCACAGGGAAATGATTATGCATATAACTTTAAAATTTCTAAGTGAAAGAATTTCAAATGGTTACAAACAACAGAAACTTAATAGACTGTTTTCACAGATGACAAATTAGGAAAAAAAATCAGATAGTCCTGCAATACTTTAAATCTGTACTTTTTGGCACTAGATTTAGCAAGTCATATTTTAATGCTTACTGGAATAGATCTGCTGGATTGAAAAATTGACAATTTTAGATTACCACTTTCGTAAATAGAACTGTACTTTTAGATTATTGTCCATTTTAATGCTCTTATCAGTCCAGATTATTTTTATGCTTTTATCATACAGATGGCTCCACAATGTCACGCAGAGGAGCCTGAACTCAATTTACTTCTCTTGATGTGTGTCCCACCCTCTTGGTCTGCCACTCCTGCCAGTTTTGAGAGGCAGATGAAGAGACATCCAAGATCCTTCTGCCCAGAGGAAAAAGGAAAACCTCAGCTCATAAAGAGCTAGAAATGGCACTGCAGGTTCCAAGCAGGCACCCCCAGATATTCTGCTCTAAAGGGTCACCATAAGGAATAACTGTGGGGCAGCCAGGGAAAGGACAAGGCTAAGTAATATTCCATGGAGTTCTACCTGTGTCTGATTTACCCCAACACAGTTAGTTGCAACTATTGGTACTCTATCCAACAGAAAACATCCCTTGAGGCTATGCAAAAATGAAAAAAGAAAAATCTGTTATATGGCCAGAACAGACACATAGTACATTTTTTACTGTATTTTTTTTACACAGAGAACTTGGATGCAGTGCTCACTTCAATATGCAGCCCTTGGTCAAGTATGTCAGAAAATACTGAATTTCACACACATTTCTGTTTCAATGGTTTTGAAGCAACTGAATGAAACTAAAAAAATTCTACTGCTGATACCTGTATATAGATGTTGATAAATATTTCATAGGTTGGCAGGTTTACTTTCACTGCCAGTGATGGCTGCTGCATAAAAAAGGAAGAAAGTGTAGCCAGTCCCCTCCAAACCTAAGGGCAAGCTCAAGGCACTGAGACACTGAAGAAATAATTCCACTGACTGAGCCACTGACTGAGCAAACTTGAATGTCAAAAGCCCTTAAAATGATAAGAAAAACCACTTCCCTCCCTCTTCTTCTATACATTCTTGGTAAAGTAGAACTGTACCCCAAAAAGAGAAAAACAGGCCAGCCTCAGTCCCAGGGGAAAGCAGTGCCCAAATTTTATAGTCAAAGAAAATGCTTCATAACTTTGTCCTTGAAATACAGCCAAAAGTAAATTTCCATGTATAATTTGTCATTAATTAAAGCTCCTTACTATATACTGTGCACATTTACACAGGTTTTCTTCTGTATTTCCTTGCTTTCTGCAAGATCTAATCTACTGTGAGTGAACCTCTTGTCTCACACTGTTACCTCAGCCATCTAAGCAGCCTTCTCTCCAAACATGGATATCCAGGATATTAATGTTTGGGCTTTACCTCTCAATCAGACAACTTAAGATTTATTGCTATTACTTCCACACCCAGAAAACAAGACAGAGACACTGTGAAAACACAAGGGCTGTAAGCAGGGCAGTTATTGTTACTTGTGTCATTATGGTCCCCAAGAACAGTGACAGTGGACTATCACTACAGTGATACATGCTGTACAGATAAAAACAGTGGCTGGCTGCTGCTCATTTGCCATGCAAAATTCAATTCAACTCAATTCATTGAATAATAAAAGTCAACCTAGGAAAAAAATCAAAATATAAATTGTTTAAAGAACAGACATAAAAACTGAGGCCACCCCACCTGCCCCCTCCCAAAAAAAAGTGAGAAATAATTAATTTTCCATTCCAAACAAGGTGTAGCATGAACAACTACAGAAAATAACTAAAATGCTACATTCACCCCACCTCCTACAGCTGCAGTAGCACAGGTACTTTAGTAATAGATTCAATCAACATGACAGTACTCACTTTTTAGGCCATTATTCACTTTCTACATGTACAGAAAGAAAATGCACTTAACCCAAGCATTAAGATTTTTTCCTAGGCTCAAAGGCAGGATAATTTACTTCCTACTTATTACCTATTTTTAAAAAGAGAAATATTCAGTATTGGCACAAATCTTTCCTAAGTTTTCCAGCACTCTTCTCTCATATGGAACTGCTAAAGTTCAGGCTTCATCTCAATTAAAGGGAGATGCAGGAGACTAAAAGCTAACCATTAAAAGAAAGAGAATGAAACAGACAAAAAAAATAAATTATTTATTCCAAAAGAGGAGGCAATGAACCAAATTTATCACTGCTGTGAGGCGAGAGAGAGAAAGCACTGCCTTCTTTCTTGACACTTGAAGTCAGCCATGCCACAACCTGGCTCTG